CCAATAACAACAATAATAGAAATAACAATAACAACAATAATAATAACAATAACAACAATAATAATAACAACAACAATAACAATAACTACATTCTAATCTTTTGATTCATTTAAATGTCAGTTTAGATTAAGTAAGTGTTTTACGGCACTTGCAACACAATAAGGTCATATAAGTGCCGGAGATTAGAGGTGATACAAGAGAGTAACAAACACAAAAAAGGAGGAGAGTTAAGGACGATAGATGTTGGATTGGAAAAAAAAAGCAGACCACATCAGAGCACCTGCCAACCACCCTTAGAGAGAAGCACACACGTACAATTATGGTCATTCACAGCTGGGGACAAGTAAGATAGACAGACAGAAACAACAGAGGGGACAAGTAAGATAGACAGAAACAACAGAGGAGACAAGTAAGATAGACAGAAACAACAGAGGGGACAAGTAAGATAGACAGAAACAACAGAGGGGACAAGTAAGGCCGGTCCCAGAGTGGCTCTGTAGGTCTGACCTGTAGCTGGCCTGGCTCGCTCCGTGCAAATGAATGTATACATTATGTGTGCTTAAGCAGAGTCGCTGTGTCGTCTGTTTTTGTCAGTTGAGCTGCGCGATGCGTCAGACGTGCTATTCAACAGTGTTGTAAAAATGGCGGACATGTGTCGCCTCGCTTCGTGTTTATTTTCGACTGAAACTCTTCACAGATCATCAAAATCAGCAAGAAGTATGTATTATTAGGTGCGTTACTATTAAATATTGATGCTAGCATCGACACTTGGCCACAACATCACCCAGAAATGCACTTTATCATACTCTGAAACTTCGAATCGAGAGGTTGACCTAGTTTCCACTGTTGTCGTAGGCATGATCTAGGTGTGCTTCTCTAGATTCTAGATCGAGATTAAGATGCAGAGGGATGTCCCTAGAAAGGCCAAGATTCTAGATATAATAATTTACATTTGATCTAGATTTAAAGTGTGTACCAGAATCTATCTCGACTTGATCAATTCTAAATTTCTGGTGTGCAATGTCCGTAGATCTAGATCTAAATTTAGATTCTAGATCAAAACTGAATTAAAATTATATCTAATCTAGATCTAGAAATAGATTATCTTGGCTACCTAGAATCTAGAGACAGAGCCTATAAAAGTCACTGCCACATGACAAGAATGGCCGTCATGTAAACATTAAACGGGACCACAATTGTACAGGTGCACCGAAAAAGAAGCCATTGAAACAAGCACAGAAGCTTAAGTAGATCTAGATCTATATATCTACTGTTGATATGATAGTATGAATCAAGTTGCATGATAGTGTGTCTCCGCCAATTCACAGGCAAGTAGCCTTTTCAAGAGTCGTCCTTCGGTCATTCGCCAACCACTAGAATCTAGATCTAGATTTGGATCTACTTTCCGAACTGCACACTCTTGGCCGGGTGCACAACAAAATCTAGATCTAGATACACGTTTATTCATTACTCTGCGGCTATTTTTACGGCGAGCTTTGAGAACACAACACCACGCCAGTCACAGAACGTCCAGTCAGGGATTCGAACCACCGCCATCTACTCTGTAGTCCAGTAAGATAGCAACTGAGCTAGTAGAGTACCCCTCGTCTATGGACAACACTGACAGGTGAAGTAAACACTGACAAACAAACAAGCAAAGACAAACAAACAAACAAAGACAGACAACGGAGCCAACACTCACCTCTCTCCGAGTACACCAGCTCAGACAGACCTTTGAAGGCCGTGACTAGCGTCTTTTTGCTGGAGACCTCGCCCGACAGGAAGTCTCGGTGGATCCTTATGGCACCATCATCTGGGGGGAAAATGTCAGTGGATGGGTTAATGCCCCTGTCAACACCAGCAGTGGATGGGTTAATGCCCCTGTCAACATCAGCAGTGTATGGGTTAACGCCCCTGTCAACACTATTAGGCTAGTAAAGAGGTGGGACCTCTGAGTTCAACATCTGTCTCCCAAAGGACCTGGCCAAATGGGTTGGCAGACTTAAAAACTACGCAAAACGACAAAACGACGACGTCCGCTCAAGATCTCACAGTCTGGGTTTGGAACCTGATTTTACTTTGATGACACATACACACTCATACACATACACACACACACTACACTACATTACACACACACTCATACACACACCCACACTACACACACACTCATACACATACACACACACTCACACACACTACACACACACTACACTACACACACACTCATACACACACCCACTACACACACACACACACACTCACACACACACCCACTACACACACCCACACAAACACACACTACACACACACACCACACTACACACATACGCACCACACACACACACATACACACTCACTACACACACACACACACTCACTACACACACACACTCACTACACACACACACCGCACACACACACACCACACACCACACACACACATACACCACACACACACACACACACTCATCTGTACAGTACATGAAGAGAGCCTGGTCGTGAGCATTGATAAAGTCGATGGAAGTGATAAAACTGCCGCGGTTAAACAACACACACACATACACACACACACTACACACCACACACACATACACACACACACACTACACACACACACACACTCACCTGTACAGTACATGAAGAGAGCCTGGTCGTGAGCATTGATAAAGTCGATGGAAGTGATGCGACTGCCGCGGTTAAACAACACACACACACACACACTACACACCACACACACACTACACATACACCACACACACACACACACACACACACTACACATACACCACACACACACACACACACTCACCTGTACAGTACATGAAGAGAGCCTGGTCGTGAGCATTGATAAAGTCGATGGAAGTGATACAACTACCGCGGTTAAACAACACACACATACACACACACACTACACATACACCACACACACTACACACCATCACACACACACACACACTACACACACACACACACACTACACACACACACACCATCACACACACACTCACCTGTACAGTACATGAAGAGAGCCTGGTCGTGAGCATTGATAAAGTCGATGGAAGTGATGCGACTGCCACGGTTAAACAACACACACACATACACACACACACTACACACCACACACACACCATCACACACACACACACACACTCACCTGTACAGTACATGAAGAGAGCCTGGTCGTGAGCATTGATAAAGTCGATGGAAGTGATGCGACTGCCACGGTTAAACAACACACACACATACACACACACACTACACACCACACACACACCATCACACACACACACACACACTCACCTGTACAGTACATGAAGAGAGCCTGGTCGTGAGCATTGATAAAGTCGATGGAGGTGATGCGACTGCCGCGGTTAAACAACATGGCTACCTTGTCGGCCGCGGGGTTCGTGATGTCTGAGATCTTGGTGCCTTGTTCTAGGTCCCAAAATCTGGGGAGATAGACTGGTGTGTGAGTGTATATGTGTGGGTGGGTGTGTGTGAGTGTGTGTGGGTGTATATGTGTGGGTGGGTGTGTGTGAGTATGTGTGTGAATGTGCATGTGTGTGAGTCAGTGTGAGTGTGCGGGAGTATGTGT